GAATGTAGAAACAACATGACTGGGCTAGTAAATGGATCCAGGACGCAGGAAGAGGCAGGAGTGAAGGATTATCCCCAAGATTTCAGGCTTCAGTGACTTGATAGATGGGGCAGATTGGGAATCTAGAAGGAAGAGGACTGGGGCAGGGGTGGTGGGAGGGAACAATGAGACAAGATGAGTTTAGCATTAGATGTATTAATTTTAAGGTATATTTGGAATATGCAAACAAAGATGTTCAGTAGGCAGCTGCAGACAGGAGGAGCTCAGGAGAGAGATTTGACTAGAAGTAAAAATGCGTGAATCACCAACATATATTTGGTATTTCAGATCATCTCAGGAAGATACAAGCTCTCCCTAGGAATGCTTAGAGGGCTCAGGACAGCCACTTGGAAAATACCTCCATCTGAGAGCTGGGTAGAGGCAGAGGTGTTTTAAAAACAGCCCAGGAAGAAATGGTAGAAGAAACAGAATGAGGAACCAAAGAAAGCATAACCAAAACCAAGACAGAAAATTTCCAGAAGCAGCAGTTAACAAAGTCAAAGGTTGTGGATGGTTAAGGTAAAATGTGGATTACGGAACACTTGCTGGATTTGGTAATACATGTTCAACATAAACCTCAGTGACTCAACAATTAAGACGGATGCCTAGCATTGTGTCAGAGATGATTCATTTAGAAATGTGCTTTCTTTTTTCTCTTTAGTTGTATTAAACACACATAACCATTTACAAGTGTACAATTTAGTGGCATTAAATACATTCACAATGCTGTGTAACCATTACACCATATCCCAAACTTTTTCATCATCCCCAGTATAAACTCTGTACCCATTAAACTAAAACTCTCCCTTTCCCCCTCTCTCTAGACCTTGATAACCTCTATTCTACCTTCTGTTTCTACAAATTTGCTTACTCTGGGTACCTAAGATAGGTGGAATCATACAGTATTTGTCCTTGTGTCTGCTTTATTTCACTAAACATAATGTTCCAAGGTCCATCTGTGTCCCAGCATGTATCAATACCTTTCTATGACTGAATAGTGCTCCTCTGTGTGTACATACTAGGTTTTGTTTATCCATTCACCCATCGATGGACATCTGATTTGTTTCTACCCTCTGGCTGCTGTGAATAAAGCGTGAGTGTGCAGGTATCTGTCTAAGTCTCTGTTTTCAATTCTCTTGGATTTATAGAATTATGAGGTCACATGGTAGTTCTCTATTTTCTTTTTTGGGAAACTGCCAGACTGTCCTCCATAGCAGCTGTATCATTTCACATTCCCACCAGAAACACATGCAGTTCCAATTTCTCTACACTGTCATCATCACTTGTTATTTTCCAGTTTTTCTTAAATTACAGACATCCGAGTTGGTGTGAAGTGGTGCATTGCCATGGTTTTGATTTGCATTTTCCTAATGATTAGTGATGTTGGGCATCTTTTCAAATGCCTCTTGGCCATTTGTGTATCTTCTTTGGAAAAATGTCTGTTTGAGTTGTTTGCCCATTTTTGAATTGGGTTGTTTTTGTTGTTGAGTTGTAGGAGTTCTTTAGTCTTCTAGATATTAATTCTTTTTTGGATATATGATTTACAAATATTTCTCCCATCCTGCAGGTTATTTTTCTCATTCTCTTGATAACATCCTTTGATGCACAAAACTTCTTAATTTTGATGATGTCTAATTCATCTATTTTAGCATGCATTGCTTGTGCTTTTGGTGTCATATCCATGAATTCACTGTCAATTCCAATGACATGAAGATAACTCCAAATCTTTTCTTCTAAGAGTTTTATGGTCTCACCTCTTAAGTTTAGGTATCTGACATATTTAGAGTTAGTTTTGAATATGATGTAAGGTAAGGGCACAGTTCCATCCTCTGGCGTGTGGACACCCAGTTCTCCCACTTACTGAAGACTGTCCTTTCCCCCACTGAGCGGTCTTGGCACCCTCGTCAATCATCAGGTGAGCACATACGTGAGGGTTTTTCTCTGAGATTGCCGCTTTTGTGTGAGATGTCTTAAGCAAATACTTCCTCTCAGATTTTTGCACTTCGCTAAAACCTCTGAAGACTAATTCTACCTTTAGATTATGATAACTTTTTAAAAGCCTCCATCATCTTGGCTGATGATCTGATTATTAGGTTAAGCTTGTTAAAGTGCTATAAACTGAAATACCTAATGAATGAGCAAAAACCAAAAGCTTTTATGTACTAGAAAGAGTTCCAGATACGGGTCCCTGTATCCTCTCCTGGTATCTTCTTGCCTAGGATGTTTCACTGCACAGACAGGTTAGGTCTCATGAGACTAGAAAAATCAGACAAGCAGGGGGCAGCCTTGCCAACATTTCAAAGTGGTATGTTTACTTTTATGCTGTCTAGAACGCTATTTTTGAAAACTAATACATGCACATGTTCCACAATTCAAAGGTACAAAAGAGTATAGAATGAAACTAAAGTAGTACTTAAAAAAAAATCAACAACAAAAAACCTGAACTTTAAGACATGAGCCAAATTTTGTATTTACTGAACCATGTTGAGTCTATCACCTCACCTCCTTCAAAAAAAACCTCTTTATTCTGCAAACCTGCCCTCTCTTTGCCCAACCACATGGTTACAGTGAGAACCACCACATTCATCTGTGACCCAGCCTATGGCCACTCTGGTTGAGTTAGCTGTGGACACCTGGTCTAAACTGGGCCAACGAACTCTCTTCTTAAGGAATTTGGAAGTAGGACTAAGAAATTATATTTTCAGTCTGAGTTGTTCTTTTGAACTGAGCACCTGCTAGAATCAGGTACTTTCTGCCCAGTGCACTGAGAAGGGAGTCTGGAGACAGAAAACAATGAAAAATGTGACCAGAGACCAGAGAAGAAGGGAGAACAGCCTTGTTTCCAAATATTTAGTGTTTATTCTGAGGTTCCAGTCTTCTTCCAAGGTCCTGCAGCATTACTGCCAAAGGGAGCCTCACCTGTACCCTGTACCTCAATGACAACCTACCCTACCCTCTGCTCAAGTTTGCTCAAGTAGGTTTCTGTTATTTGCATCAGCGCAGGTCTCAATTCATATATTTTGCCATGTGAGTAATGGGGTATAATGCATCCATCTATCACTACCAGGGGCTTGGAAATCTTTCTTTTAAAACCCATATGTATTGGTGGTTAATAGAGTAATTTTATTCATTATTGACATATTGTTTATTATTGTTAATAAATAATTATAAACTATAATCTGTTTCTTTCCTTTCATTTTTTTCCTCAATAACTAAAACATTTTCTTTGAGACCTCAAAATGAAGAGAGGAGCTTTACTGTACTCACTTGTCAGTGGTTCTTTCTCTAAATTGGAATCTTCTGGTGCATCAAAACGACCTTCTGGTAACTCTGGCTTCTTAAGGGATTGTTTGATGGGTTCAGATTTTTTCTCTTTCAAAACTCATTTTCCTCAAAGAATGACACAGAACGGGTGATCCTAGCAGAGTGAAGACAGTGAAAAAATGGAGCTGTTCATTGATTCTACTTTAAAATTTAATAATTTTACTTACTGCTTTTTAGCATATACATTCACATTTATCAAAGTCAAAAAGTACAAAAGGACATATAGTGAAAATTCTTCCCTCTCCTCTGTCTTCCAGACAGCCAGTTCCCTTCCTTGGAGGCAACTAATGGTATCAGTTTGAAAAGAAAAGCTTTGAAATAAGTTAGTTAACCACTATCAACATTGTAAAAACTTGTATATAAAACACTGATTCTTCTCTGAAGCAATGCCCAAAATACCAGGAATGAGATTATTAAAAGTAACTAAGTAAGATGAACTTTTTTTTTCAATAATATTTAGTATTTAAATCTCTAGAAGTCACAAGGGACTGTATTTAGTACTCTCATATTTAAATCCTAATTGTGGTTCTCTTTGCCTGCCAATTAAACATTTTTAAATGTACTTCGCATCATCATATATAAATGAGATCACCTTCTCTCTAGACTATAACAAGGAAGTTAAACTTTCAGTATTATGAAAGTATCTGACCCTTGTTGAGGTAAAGTTCAATAAGGGCAAAACCACTCTGAAAAATGACCTCAGTGCTAGAGGCTTTTGACTTCCGGAAGGAATGGCTTTACAGGCAGACAGAGGTGGGTACCAGTTCTGGTCACA